CATGTCATGTGGAAACACTATCATACGCTTTCTCTAGTTCTATGAACACCAATTATAAGTCCCTATCACGTTCTCTACACTTCCTTGAAGCGTCTGCGATTGCCACAATCATCGAACGTCTGACATGAAACCAAATTGGTTCTCTGTCACCTCCTTTTTGTGCAACACCCGGGCCTCCATCACTCACTTCCTTAATTTCATGGTGTGGCAAAGTAACTTCATACCATGATACACATTGTTGGGCATCACCTTTGTTCTTATAGAGCTGCAACACCACACTAAGGCTCCACTTTTCAGGCATCTTGGCAATTTTGAGTATAATGTCGAAGAGGTCTGCCAACCACCACACCCCCTCCTCAGCAGACACGACACCAGTATCGTTCGGGCCTACACTCTTACACGACACCAGTATCGTTCGGGCCCACACCCTTACCCTTCCACATCTTCCGTAGTGCCCCTTCACTTCCCTTATGCTAATTCGCCATCAGAAATAGAAGTCAACAATGATTGACAAGTGGCTTCTTTTCAGGCTTGAACAAGCAACTATGCAAATAGGCTCTGGTTCCTAACAAGCTAAGCACCTACCTTGTAGGCCTAGGAAACTACGAATTACTAGTTTAGCCAAGACCAAGCACCTATTAATTAAATTCCATATTATGACAAAAACACAGTTCCATAAAAACATCCAAGTCCTTAACATGGACACTAGTGCTGAATATTTCAACCATCTCGTGGGGATTACCTCTCCCAACAAGGCATTGTGCATCAAAGCGCACATGTTGACACTCGACAACATGTAGTAGCCAAACGGAAAAAAATAGACGCCTACTTGAAACTACACAAGCTCCTCTTCACATAAAATGTACCTAAAAACACCAGATAAGAGTTGTCCCACACAACCATCTATCTTATCAACCGAATGTCCTGTCAGTATATACATTTCTTATGTACCTATGGGTGCTATGTCGGATTTGAATCAGATTTTGGGTCATGACTATAAATCTCCATGCCATGTGTTAATGTATTCATTTCCTTATACAAATCTACTCTAAAAAAATCCCACCAAAGATCTTCAATCACACAACTTACCTCCACATATAGCCTCAATTCAGGAGCAAGCTTGAACCCAAAGCCTCCACATTCATCATCCTTCGTTACTCTCCAAACGACAAGAGGTACAAATGCCGTATGACCCTGTAACATGAAACATCTCCACCATGGAACGAAGGGACTTACAAAAGATGGTGGCCATGTTCTTTGCCTCATTTAGAATCCACAATAATTGATGTTACAAATTGCTACCAATTATCAAAAAGACTAGAGTAAGATTTGATTATAAGATGCTCTAATTTTTGAGAGGACAAGAACTCTCCTAAGGGTTGTCTCCAATTGATTACAAAACCTATACCTAATCAATTCCACCCTCCGATTTATACTTCTAACAACCGACTTACCACACTTATTGACTATTGACTAGCCCCCACACAATCATCCTTACTATCTATATGGGTAATAATACCCGGCTCACAAACATCCACCTTGTCCTCAAGATGGAATGAAGAAATGAAAAAATTGATTCACTCCTCTTTCATCCCACTCATCCAACAATTCTATCATGTTTTATTTATGGCTTTCAACAGATTCACACTTCCAAAAAGATCAGAACTTTGTTTTAAGGTCTTACATTATTTCTCCAATGCCTTCAAAAAGCAAAAGCTTCAGCTTTCTTCCCCAACGATGCTTGAAATTAAATAGCTCATATATATATATATATATATATATATATATATACACACATATATACATCTTCGATGAAAGGATATCTATGGCTCAATAAACTTTATACCCAAATGCAACAAACTTCTCGTGGATTGTAATTTTGCAAGAGACTTTTAGCCTTTTCTTCCAAAACATCATCAGATGCCAATGTGTGGACACTTTCAGCCTTTACAATCCACTGGTTGGATTTGTTCCATTGAACATTGATGCCTCAAGTCTTCTGTCTCGAAATTCTGAAGCTTCTCCATAATCAGAATTTATAGTCTTTTTTGGTTTCCTCATGCCCAAATTGACATGTCCATCCTCTTTCAAGCTCGTAGTTGTCGTCTTCAACATATCTTGTTGCGATTTAATCAACACTTGCATTGGTTTCTTCAAGATCTGAACATTTTGTTTTATAGACTTGGTCACGACCTGTACCATTCTAATGCTCCCCTGCAAAAAATTCCTCGAGTTGGGTTCCTGCCCACTTTATTTCCCAAGATCCACCTGTTACTCTTCTGATAACCACCTTGCCTTTTGGAACTTTACCCTTGCCAGCCCTTTATTGTTTTCTTTCCAAATAAATGCCTCTTGGATGTTGAAAACCACCATCGTAATTGGATGGCCTTTCTCTTTCTTGTTGTAAATAGACAACAAGCACACCATCTTCAACAAGTTCTCATCAGCTTCTTCGTCTTTCTACATTCCCGTATCCTGCTCTACGTTCGATCGAAAGCATCAATACCGAAAATTTGTTCTCCAAAAATCGATCGAGGCTACTAACCTGATTAATCGACCATTTTGCTTCTGTTTTCTCCATCAGATCAAGACTACTAACTTGGTTGGAAGAACTAGACCTATATTGTCGACCCAAACTTGAAATCCTAAAAACCAAGGCCTCTGCCCCCAATTCAGCAACCACGACCTCACCCAAAAATTATATCCGTGATTTACGGCCTTCCTTTTCTTCTTCACAGGCTCCTTGTACTTCGTTACGACGGCAGTCCGGTCACCAGAAATTGGTTGTCCCCAGGCTGGAACAAGTCTCTTCAATGTCTTCATTTCACAATGTATGGCTCGAATTCCTAGATTGACAAGACTTCTTTTCACCCATTGAAGGTTGTTTATGTTCTGATTTCGGCTGCTTCATCCCTTCTTAGTCTTGTACTTCCTATTCTTTGAGCATTTGCTTCAAAGTCTGAAAATTTTCTTTTATAGAAATCAACTTTGATTGCACCGACCTTAGATCTCCCACCATCATGTTGAAATTGGCGAGCAAACTCTTGGTCATCTCCACGATCGACTGCTTTAATACCATTTGTTACAAATTGCTACCGATTCAAGGTTTTAAAGTACGGAAACGTGAGGCGAGGTGTTTTTCCTCAGCGGGGCAAGGCGTAATCCTCAAGGCGCCCCGAGGCGTAAACTCGAGGTGGAAAATAAATAAAATTCAAAATAATATATCTACACCAAATTATTATCACAAAATACATAAATATATACACAATATATATATATATATACGTATGTGTGTTTTGCCACTAGACATAATTTATATACATATATATACACTGCCACTGCCACTGCCACTGCCACTACCACAACCATTAATATGTGTGTGTGTGCATATATATATATATATATGCATATATAACACTTTAGGTCTGCCACTACTATCAACAAAGAATTAGGAAGTAGATAGGGTTCATTAAGCCAAAAAACTATAAAAATTGGGCTGCGAGAGTTTGGATAAGTAAGCCGGTAAGGAAATATGATACATATATACACACACACGTATACATTCACCTAATTCTTCAAAGTGAGAGACTTGAGAAAAATAAATAAATATATAGTGTCGGTCTTCCACTACTACTGACATAGAAATATATGAAGTAGAAACGTAAGAGTTGAATAAGTAATGAAATCATTGACACTTTTTTTCCAAATAAATCGAATGCCTCTCTCACGTCTCACTGCTCCCTGCCTCAGTCGCTGCCTCATCTTTGCAAAGCATATGCACATACTGGCCGAGAGGCGACGCCTCATGATCGTTTTTTGGCCGCCTCGCCTTGAGATGTGCGCCTCAACCGATTTTTAAAACCATGTAGCGATTATCAAGAAAACTAGGGTAAGATTTGATTATTCACTCATAATCGAATGACTACGAGATACTCTCGCTTTCGAGAGACCAAGAATTCTTCTAAGGATTACACCAAATTGATTACAAAGAAGAATACCTGATAGATTCCACCCTTGTCTATATATACCTCTCCTAACAACTAATTTACCTCACTTATTGACTAATTGACCAGCCCCCCACAATTGATTTGACCTGCCCCCACAACTGATTTGACCTGCCCTCACAATCATCCCTACAATCTATATGTGTAACAGCTGAGCCCAAATTCATCTCTAATTTGAGGTTTCAATCCGTCTAGATACCTTGCAACCTATTTCCCTTTACTTTCTTGTAAATCAGTCCTTTCAGCAAGTGTAATAAAATTGACTGGGTGGCGAAGTTCTCATCGTTGAAAGTTCTGCTCATAACTCGTTGGAAGAAAATCCTATGTAACAATTTTTTTTTCTATACTAGGTATGAATTGGTTGTCTACCCTCACAGTATCTCCTGTTTGTTACTCCCACCAAGCGGAAGCACCCCCCCTAATCCGCATGCTACTTGCACGCTACGGAGAACTTACCCTTCTCACTTTCAAAATATCCATATATTCAGATAACTGATCAACCTCAACAAACCAATCAATGGAATCCTTGATGCTCAAGTTCCCACTAAGACTAGGAAGGTCTACTTTCAATGTAAACTTATAATTACCCCGATCGAAATTGTTACCAAGATACAAGCCTCGATCAACACCTCGGCTAACACGTTGATTGTGATTATTAAGCCACAACTCATCTTATTACGAATCCTCATAGGCCAATTGCCTAAGATTGTTCGTGGCAACATATATGACGATAGTCCATGAGCATCATCTTCTCTTGGTCATCAAAACTTTGTGATGATCAATAAGGGGCATATCGGTAATTTTTTCCTTAAATTTTCCCAAAAAGAGAAACATTACAATCACTTTAGGACATCCAAAAAACGAAATTGACGAAATTTATCTTGGGTTGGAGGGAGTATAAGCTTTCATCTCCAACTGCAGAAATCAAATTTTGCAATGGACAAATATGGTAATGTCTGTCAATGATTAAAAACATCAAAGAAAACTAAATAGTACCATCCTCTCCAATATTGTTCTGTTTCCTGCAATCGTGCTCTGTGACAATAGCTGCACACACAACAACTAGATCCGTTAATTTGAGGCAAGCAGGAACCTAATATAATCAACTTAACTTTTAAATTTAGAACAAGCTACTACAAGGGCAAAGTAAATAATTTAAATGACGATGGAAATGATTTGAAGAATCAACTTGTGTGTTTCGAGATATGTTATATAAAAATTTGGAATAACACAAAACACGAATTTAAGGACTTCCCTTACCACATTTGTGAATCATCATACTTTAAGGTCCCAGGAATTGATATTCGAGCAGATTCAATGTTTCTTAAAGAGCCTCCTCTGACATTCCACTCGATCTGCATGCATTACATTTCATGACATTATGGCAGACAGACTTGTTCAATAAAAACAGTACTAACACTACAAAAGTTTTTCACCATTTGTAGATCAAATTCTATCAACTATAAAAAACATTATCAGATTCAGCAAAAAGGAGAAGAAAGGAACATACAGAGAAAGCGAGGATGGACAATAGGATTAATGACATCACTTAAGCCTCATGTCTCATATATAATTGTGTGCTTTCATGTGACCAAATAAATACTGAACACAACCAATCTTGCCCCAAAAAAATTACATTTAGGTGCGCTCGGCACATTCCCTCAAGCTGAAGCATGTATCTCAATCATGTTGAGCCTTTAAAGGAAAATAACTAGCGGAAATTACAAAAGAACATCCTTCAGGTATGCCTATAATCATGGATAGGCGTTAACAATTAATTACACGCTAGACCTAGACCTATCTAGGTTTTACCAAAAGTCATACTGATGCTAAAGGCATTAATTTCTATCTGTTAGGTGGATGGCAAATTTGTAAACTTAAATCTTACAAACAAAACCATCTATCAAAAAGATTAATAAAAAAATTACATTATATATATTTAAGACAATTAAAACATCATTTAACCAAATAATAATGAATATAACCAATTTTTTGCCTCCAACAGATGCACACTTAAGTATGCTCAGCACATTCCCTCAAGCTTAAGCATGTGTCTCAATGTCGAGCCTCTTAAAGAATAATAACTATTATAAATTACAAAGAAAATCATCCTTGAGGTATGCCCACTGTCATGGATAGGTGTTAACAACTAATTACAAGCTAGACCTAGCCCCATATAGGTTTTGCCGAAAATATTAATTAAGTATTACATTATATATATAAATATATATAAGACACTATCAAAGCATTGTTTAAAATTGAAGATCTCAACATTATTAGGTTAAAGAGGTTTTATATAGTAAACACTCTATAAAAGCAGTATACTATAAACCTGTTTAGATTAATATTGTTGAACCATGAGATTTTATTACTTCAGAGATAATAATGAATAAATATTAAATTAAAGAGTGTTACTCATGATTCAATGAAGTTGAGTTTTGATTACGTCAACAATACTGTATCTTACTAATTTATGTATTATATTTATCGAATTAATATAAAAAATAAATTCAGCTACATGTTATTAGTGGAAATTAATACAGTACGATGTATGATGTATGATTCATTGACATGTTCTTTTTTTTAATAATATTCATTGATTCTCGTATGTAATTAATGATTAATGGTATTGTTCATTGTTTCATAATAATCACATACTACCCATTGTATTTCTACTAAAAACATGCAATATATGATGGTCAAACAATATACTATATAAACAACAAACAAATATCTTGACACCGTACCACACAATGGTTTCTCATCTAGAAGGATCACAAGATCAACAATGACAGAACAAATACTTAAAGCATTATGTGAGTACAAAAAAAATCATTCTGCATGCACTCACATACATTTGCATATGAAAAAATTCATTTAAAAGTTGGTCAAGGTACAATATCAAACACACTCGAACGGACACTGAGTATCTTTTGACTAATGTAGAGAAAGGAAGGAATATAAACCCGCAAACCAGCAAAATTTCCACACACTGGTCTGTCCCCGTTCCAAAAAAATTCCAGACATGGAGAAGGTTGTTTATGAGTGGTTCCTCCGGTACCAAGACCATGGGAATATAACCCGAGAACTAGTCTTGAGAAGGCAAGAGATATAATGAAACTTCTGTACCCTCAACAAGATTATGAGCACAACTTTTCCCAAAGTTGGCTAGAGAAATTTAAGCTAAGACATGGTATCAAGTTTTTGTTGTCTCACAATGGGCGGTTAGGTTGATATACAGGACATGAAGAAATTGGAGTCCATAAGGGAAAAAATAGACAAGTCCCTGTGAAGGATGTTTCTAATATGGGCAAAACTCGTTTGTTTTATAGGTTACAAGCTGATTATTCTCTTGCTACAAAGCAACTTGAAGGGAAAAGGCTAGCAGTTTATTTGTTGCAATGAGGATGGCTCTGGAAAAAAAGATCCCTTTATGGATGATTGGAAAACAAAAGAGCAACTTGAATCATCACTATCGTGCAAACAAAATAGCATGGATGACAAGTGTGTTTTTTGATAAATATATTTGTTGGTTTGACCACAAAATCATGGTTAAAGAATTTTGTTGGTGATAGGTAATTGTCCAGCACATCAAAGAAATACTAAAGGAACACAAAATGTGAGTTATTCTCCTTGGAACCCAACATGGCATCAAAAATTCAACTTTGGATGCAGGGATAATAAAGCTTTCAAGATGCATCATCACATGAGATTTTACCATAGGATATTAAGAAGCTATGAGTTGGAACAATCCAATCCAAGAAAAATTAATGTTTTAGATCCTATCAATCTTGTAGTCTCTGCTTTGACGACAAATGTTCAGCAGGAGCCAATAGCAAATTGTTGCTGACACTGCAAAACTCATTCAAGGAATGAAGTCTCAAGAAATTTAGATAAACCCACCTGTGAAAACGACATAATCACATCCCTTAGATCAATTAATCTAACATTTACGATATGTTCTTTGGTTATCTTTTTCAGGGTTCTCCCTAGATCTTCCTTCAGGTCATGATTAATGATCTTGGGTAACGCACTAAATGGATGGCAATAGCCTATTGGATTACCCGGATGAAAATGATACGAGTTAAGAGATAAGGACTTAGAAGAAAGTGTGGATATCATCCTTGAAAACAATGTTGATGATGAAGTTGAAGACGATACAGTGGTTTGATAGATTTTAATCTCTATATTTGGTTTGTAATAATTGGATGCATTTGCAAGTAGTCACGTGTAATAGTTTTGCAAGTAGTGTGGTTGTGAATCAGGTAGATGGTAGTCTAGCATTCGGTTTTCCCACAGACGGGAAAAGGCTGTGATGTCTATCGAATGGTGCACAAGATATTTTCAGTACAAGACATCCCATGCATCTTTTCATATCTAACTAGTGTTGTTGAACTAGCAAGGGACAAAGCTAGTGCTGTTGGAAGTGAGACTTGATTTTTTATGAGAGAACTATTGTTATGCAGGCTTTTCGATTCCATATATGGAAGAAATGAACAAGCCACATACATAAAATGAGTCAAACTAGCTCTGCATAGAAGCAAAAGTCAACATTTTACCGCTTTCTCAAGAGTCGAAAAATACTGCATTCTGTTTGAGAGAATTTTCTGCATATGCATCAACGAAGCCATAGCTGTCCCCTGCAATTGTAATTTAATTTCAATAATGTTCAGTGCAAAAAAAATTGGAAGTAGTTTGAGTTAAACTGCACCTCAACAACATCAACAACCACAAGTCCAGCAAGACTACGTAATGTTTTCTTTGCTGCCACATGCACTGCAACTGATCCACCCATGCTGCATGCAATAGTTCAATGTAAATTAAATCAATAATTTTCTCGTTAATTTCTTTTTGGTTCCAAGTATCAATTTAACCATAGCCAATAAGCTACAATATCATTAATTTGAGAAATATGAAAAGATAACTTCGACCCCACCATAATTCTAGTTATGTCAATCTTGCAAGATCAACAAAATCAACAAGACAAGATGATTTCACCATACAGAACATGCTCCAGTCAGGGAACCACTTTACCTAGACCGTTATGCCCATGAGGGTTCAAACAGAGGTAATATCAAAAACGTGTTTTGGTACTTTGTCTTGTAAATTGCATATCCAAATTTATACATGTCTTGTGGGTGTACACTATTGAGTATTCTATGAAATGCTTATCATAGCATTAGCATCACTACATTGATGTCTGTCAGCCATGAAGTGTTTATAGTGAATCACAAACCTGTGGCCAACAAGCACGATTGCTGGTGGACTATCTCCGTACATTGTCTTCAAAACAGCAAGAACATCACTAGATAGGGTCTGCAATGACATTGTACCATTCCCACTAAGAAAAGAGATGACATGAAAATTTGGGAGCTTAACATGGATATCCCAAATTTCAAAAACCGCATACTAGCCAGTATTTGAACAATTTAAGATACATACCTCAATAGACATGTCTATTTCATTTTCTGTGGATGATTTCCCATGTCCTCTCAGGTCCATTGCTACTACCCTTGCTTTCTCCTTAATTAAGCGTGATGACATTGCAAACGAAAGCCTGAGGATAGTTTGTTAAATAACTATTTATGCGGATTTCCCTTTCTGCCTAGCAACATAACTATGAAGACATGGATTATTGTTTTTGTTGCACATGTCAAATAATTCTTCTCAAAAATGTTTCATGTTTGAAATGTCAGCGTCAACTGAAATGGTGCAATACTTGCACCTCAGGCACCTGGCACACCTCATGGCACAAATCTGAAACTTTGCCTTGGTGTGAGGAAAGGCATGGGTGCACCTTCATCATGATCAAGTGCAAAAACTAAAATAATCTACAGGTACATTTTAAAAGTATGACTAAAAACAATCGACTCAAAATTATAGACAAATGAAAACAAATTTGTACTACTTTCTGCAGTAACAAAATGAGTTTGCAATATAATTACACCTTTAATAGCATTATTGATGACAAACTTCACCTTTAAAATAAGGTTCCTGGGATTAAATAAGAAAAAATTGATGAAAAATACATTTGAGGAGAACACTAATCAGGCATACCCAGAATATCCACCCCCGTGTAGACAAAATACAACTGGTCCTTCCTTTCCTGCAGTATATATGTGGAAAACCTAAACAACAGAGTAAATCAGCATAAAACACAATCACAAACAGAGAAAAAAACATAAATGACATGGGGTGAAAAAAAAGAAACGCTCTATTAAGTATATGAGACATGTCACTAACATCGTTTGTGTCAGGGATGCAAACATCATCCTCTTGGTCAAAATAGCCTTTCCAATCTAACGGGGAGTATTTTTGCGAAGATGTTCTACAAGACAAGCAGCACAATGGAAGAGTAAGTGCTTGAGTTTAATCATAAGATTGATTTGAAAAATAAATCAAAAAATACATAAGCTATATAATAAAAAGATTACGAGAATCTTATTTTAATAACGTGTCTAATGATCATGCAATATAGCTAATGGTAACCAACAAAATACAGAATATGATATCTATTTCAATAAATCTAATCCTGTTAAAGATGCTGGAGCCACTAGCTCATTAGCAGAACCTTTGAGACAGTATGTAGGAGATCCCAACTTAGAGAGATTTTCTGAAGGTTGTCATAAAGAACCACTTCGTTCTGGAATGTTTATTAATTACTATGACTTCGCTCATGGCCCATACCATGTACCCTGCACATTACAGGTTCTCCAACAGTAATAGTCTCACAATAGCCGGAAGGCCTGACTAACAGATTTAGGAATTCTGCTGTGTTTCTCATTCATTCTTGACAGAGAAGCATACAATATAAATACACAAGGCAAAGGGAAAGAAAAGGAAACTATTCTATGAATCCCTGATTTTATGGGATTGCCTACAATCACTAATATTTTGGGATTATAATCGGCTCCCATTACCCCTACATTAAATACATAATCATTTACATTTTTACATTTTCCCACACTGACCACTTCCATGGTATTAGAGCTATGTTAAATTAAACCATAGCCTTAACACCTTAAGCCACCAGCAACAGCATCAACTCCTTCAAACAAACAGCAGTAGCACTTGCATCCCATGTTGCCTAGACTAGGTGACTTATTACTCAGACCAGCCAACTGGCCGATGTAACAACCCAGACGATTTCCAACCACATATCACTCAAACCTGTCTTGTATAGCTGAACTCCCAAAATCTTTTCTGACTAGAAACACAGGCATTTTAGGGTTGTCAAACCTGCTGTTTAAAACATACCATCTAATACCTAATTCACCACTCTTTTTCCATATCCAATCTGTACAGCCTCTTTTCCCACTTTGTTTCTGGTCTGTTTTCTGAATGCCAAAAACTACCGGTGAAGAAAGGGATGTTGCCAACCTCATTTATGTCAATGCTTAAGATATGAAATATTTACAATTGGATTCAATGGTCTACAAGATGAGGGTTTTCCAAATCCGATATTTTGATTTTTGTCATGCATCAACTTGGTATGAGAGCCAAAACAGCACGAAGCTAAACCCTAATATCATTGCAAAGATCCAATTTGATATTTATGGAAATGAATGGAATTGGAGCAAGGATTGGAATAGAATTAGAGGAAGGAGTTAGAAAGAGGAAACAGCAGAGCAGAGGAGTATGCAATTCATATAAAGAACGCCCCAACTACATACATTTACACGCCTTAGCCACCTTTCCTGCCCAATTAGCTAACTGACTGTCTACAACTAACTCCTGAAATGTTTACACATAACCTTGTGAAGGACTTACTTGTTACTGTCTTACTCGTTGACCTTTACAATCTCTACCCCTTAAAGAAAACATTGACCGCAACATTTGAACTGAAAAAACAACTGTTCACCTACATGTTGCTTCTTCTGGTGACTTTAGACCAATCAACACTGTTGCTTCACCAGGTGGCTTTAGGCCACTCAATGAGTTGTGCTGTTGTAGCATTATTTCTTCTAACTACTCATATATTAAGTACATCATCATTCATTAATGTCATCCTTTTCCTCAGTTGCCATTATGAACAAGTGTGGTTTCTCGCATGGATGTTCCACAACATATGGCTTGTCACATGAGAAACAGTCTTTTCTTCCTCTTGTCATCCAATTTTCCTTTGGTGGGTTTCTTGATGGGAAGATTCTGGTTCTTCTAACTAATGGCCCCATTCCATTTTGTAGTAGCCATCGTGCCCACAACTCTGTGGCATCACCATTTCCTTTTGCCCTGCCTTAATCATCATAGAACTTTTGTGACCAAAAAACCAACTTCCCCAGATTGAGATTTCCTAATCCATGAAAACACTTTGACCTCCTTTATATTTGCAAAGTAGATGGCCTCCTAAAATGCCTTGGGCTTAAACCCATAAACCGCTTACCCCCCCCCCCTGAATCTCCTCCTGTAACCCTCCAAAAATTGAATCAACAAAGAATGATTTGATGAGAAAATCGTTCTTGAATAGTGCCCAGCCTCTAAGCTATTCACCTATTTTTTTCTATTCATCTACAGTACCTCCCCCCCCCCTTCTTCCTCGCAATGTAGCAGTGCGTTAACTTCGCCAATTGGATTCATTTCCATTTCAATCTGGAGAGAACCTCATCTATGAACTCTTTCCAACCTATTCCTTGAGGCATCCACGAAGCCTAAATACCACTCTTCTGCTTCTCCTTCCAAATGCCTACAGCCAAGAAAGCCTTGCTGCTATCACTCACATCATGATGTGCAAGTATTCATCATAATCATGATAATAAATTTAATGCAATTTTTATTTTCAAAATAATCACGTACTTCCATTTTCTGTCTGTGTGTGCTCTTTGCCGAGTGAATCAACGTTTTGCATATGAAATCTTTGTATTTGGTGTGAAGTCCTAGAGATCCTCCTTAAGTAGCTTATAATACCTAGTTGCTTTTATCATTTAACCCAAATCCTCAAGTTCTCTTAGAGATCACAGCATTTGTCTATATGTCTTTAAGAAGTTTAATAAAACTTTACCACCTGAACGACACACCATCAACAGATGATTTTCACTAGGATCGATCCAATGTCTTGTCTGCCATAAAAATCTTATAATGGGAAATCAAACATTGCCATACCTAGTCTCCCATTGGCTTAATTTTTTATGTGAACATGAGTTTCTGTGTTTACAGCATATTATACTCATTTAATAAGGTTGTGATCAGCTAGAGAACTTCACTCACAACTCAATTCAGTTTACAGGGTGCATTGACAATATGATCAAACTCATCCTGTTGTTGTGCTGGAGACAGGGTAATCACACATTCACACCTGTCAATTCCTATGATCCACAGAACCAAAATAAATTACATTTCAATAAATCATTAACGATGCCAACTTTTATTGCTAATTCTCCACTAACGTGATTCTCTATGTACCACACTTTATACATATTTAATGTGAATATGTGATCATGAAATTTTCTTTAACCGTTCAAAAATCCACGACAATATTGACCCTGAACAGTAACCCATTCGAGTTTCTAAATTCAAAGGGTAGCTCCTTCCGGGAGTGAGTATCTGCAATGGTAAATGATTGGAAATTCGGAACGCATTACAAAAACTGAAAGTATACCCAATTTCATAGCAAGTAAAAATTGATATCTGGTAATCAGATTAACGGAAAGCAGGATGATCAAATTTAGAGAAAAGCTGCGACAGAGAACGAGGGACTGTAGACATGCATCGGAATTCAGGTACTCACTGAGTGGGAGGACGAATGGGTTTTGAGGAGAAAGCAGACGGCGCATTCGTAGGAGCATGATCAGATTGCAGTCGATCTTGATCATGATCTTGATCTTCCTCGGGAAGCGGTTTGAGGCTTGATGGCTTTGGTTCCATGTTAGCTTTTGTTGCGTTGCGAGTTGTGTATTTGGAATTGAATGGAACGATGGGAAGTTTGCTGGGGCTCAAAACCCTCGGAAAATGTTAGAAACTCCTTGGGCGAAATAAAAGTAAAATTCTAATTTCTAACAAACTTTTTGCTGGTTCGGTTAAATATTTTGTTATATCATTAAAAAAATTCAATATCATATATAATTACAGCTATGATATACAAATCTAAGCTGTTGTAAATGTGTTTGAAACACACCCCAAGAATCCGAGCAAATAATAATAATATTAGTTTGACGCGGAATGGAATTAATATTTTAATCAAGCGTAATTAATCACGAACGAAAAAAACCGAGACAATAAGTAAGATAGACACAAGGATTTACGTGGAAACCCAAATCGGGAAAAAAAACCACGGGCGGAGGAAGCCGAGAACCAATTCACTATATGTTGAAGTGTTTACAAGGTTGGAATAGAAAAATACAATACAAAGGATTTTGTATATATGTATTCTGTGAAAAAAGGATGTGTTTGGGATAAAATTCATACAGATTATAATCCCGCTGATATGTTCACTAAAAGTCTTCCTATAGCCAAGTTTAAATTATGTTTGGACTTGGTGGGTGATTCTGATCGCAGTTGAGCTTGAAAGGCTCGAGGTGGAGGAAGTATTTTAACTTTTCGGAATCAATTATTTCTCTATATGGTGATTACAGGATCTTATGGAATTTGGGAAATTTGATGAGTTGTTTCTCTGCATTTTGAAATCAAGGTGGAGATTGTGAACATGTTTTCAAAATTGTCAAAGAAGGCTGCAATTATCAAAGAAGACTGCAATTATCAAAGAAGGCTGCATATACAATTTCAAATATTGTGGCCACATTTATTACAATTTAGACAATTGGAATTCGGCGCCTGACTTTGAAGAATTAAGTTACATGCTTTCACAACAACTAAAATGTGCCTATAAAAGGGGAGGTTGATTCTTCATTTGCTGATCATCCCAAACACATCCTTTTTTCACAGAATACATATATACAAAATCCTTTGTATTGTATTTTTCTATTCCAACCTTGTAAACACTTCAACATATAGTGAATTGGTTATCGGCTTCCTCTGCCCGTGGTTTTTTTCCCGATTTGGGTTTCCTCGTAAATCCTTGTGTCTATCTTACTTATTGTCTCGGTTCTTTTCGTTCGTGATTAATTATGTTTGATTAAAATATTAATTCCATTCCGCGTCAAACTAATATTATTATTATTTGCTCGGATTCTTGGGGTGTGTTTCAAACACATTTACAACATAATCATATATGATTAAACACAACAACGATATACAAATCTAATCATATATGATTAAACACATGTTGTATTGATAACAAATAAATGTTTAATCATATACACCCAAAGAAGTATAATCATATATGATATTGAAACTTATCGTCTTTTTGTAAAATGTTTAGCTCCTTAGTATGATCTTTCCTCAGCTAAAAAAATCACTAACCTCACTCATTTTAATGATTAAGTCTTTGAACATTTTCTTTTAATAAATAAACCATCAAACTTACAGAAATTGGTTACCCATATTCTTTAACACATAAAAACAACATGTAACCGGCTAAGATGGTCTTAAAATTAAAAAAAACTTATATAAGTTTTACGGTTCCCAAACCACACATCATTCAAACCCCTTGCCACCCCTTGTCGTCCCGTCACCACCCGCTCTCTATTACTGTCTGTCATCGTCGTTGACCCCATCTATTGATCTTCCTCTTTTTGATCGTTTTTGTTTTTCGATTCTTCATCTTTTTTTGTCTACACGTGCTTCATTAAGTTGTTGTAAAAGAGGAAGAATTGAAAAACAAAAAAAAACGGAAATCTAAAAGAGGGACATCGATGGCAGGGGCAATGACGTCGATGGGCAGTGTGGAGAATGGACAATGATGGGGCGAAGAGGTGGTGAGGGGGAGCGATGTCGTTGGGTACAAGGGGATTTAGATGACTTAGGGTTTGAGAACCGTAAAACTGATTTAGTTTTTTTTTTTTTTTTTACATTAAAACCTTCCTAGGTCGCGTTTTTTGGGTTAAACTAACGTAGGTAACTGTTAGATCTAGAAACCCCCAAGTTTATTGTTAGTCTGAGCCTATGCCGTCCCCTAACTCGTCTACCTAGACGAACCCAACACTTATCCGTTCGAAGAAATCCGAAGTCTTTCTCAAGTGGTCCCCTCCAAAACGGTTAGAGTCGGAGTCGTCCCGAGGGGAGATGGGCCGGGGCATACCTCCAGTGTCCATAAGAAATAGGGGTCCAATTTTTTTCATATATACTATATAGTATATAACAGCAGTTCAAAAAAATAACAAATAAAAGAGACACAATTTTTTTTTAGTATCTAATATTGATCCAAAATTCAGGGGTCGTTTACCAAATACTTACTTGGGTAAGCACTTACCAAGTTATATCACCTTACCAAATAAATATGATAAGGACCAAAAATCTTACCCGATAAGAACGAAGCAAGGATCGGGAGTCTTACCCGGCAAGTGAGGGCAATGACTCTTACCATAGTCAGCTCTTACCGGGTAAATTGTTGCATAAAAAGCCGTTTTTGTTAACTAAAATCTTACCCGGTAAGTAAATAATATTATTGAATTTTCTCGGTAAGTATTTACCGGGTAAATGTTTGGTAAACCACCCTCAGTATCTAAATTTTTTCTGCACATTGTCCAATTTGAAATATTACAAATCTGCAAATCTTGAGACCATGTCTTCCAAATAGTACATACCATTTGTAATCACAACACTAGATTTACATGTTCCAGATTTACATAACCCCATCTTTTTTAATAAGCCATCTTTTTTAATAAGCCAACTCAATGCTTAACAAGATCTTTATCTTCTTTCATTCCTTGCACTTTGAGAACTTTTGGATTCAGCTTTGAAAGCACAACACTTCTCTCTTCCTTCCTTAAGTTGTTGAGATTCAGCTAACCATTTTTTGGCCTGTATGACAAATAAATTGGCTTATTCGAAAAAGGTCTGCCAATCGTAACCGACATAAATTAACAATTTCAGCGACACATGTATATGTAAGCTTTTAGTTCCTTGCTTCAGTAGCATTCGGTATTCAGGTGCATAGTATTCGCCGGTGTCGAAATCTCTACTTTTCATCAAACGAAAAACACGATGAAAAATCATACAAAAAAGTAAAATAATCTAGGTGACGGTCGAAGCAACGGAATGAGCCCAAAATCTTAGTAGACCCTTGACCTCTACATCGTTTCTACAATCCATTATCGCCAACGCTGTGATTTCATCTTTCTGTTTCGTCGGCCATGACGTTTGATCCCAAGCGTGTCGCACGAACGGGAACGGTTCTTGCTCATCTGTATGTGATATCGAAACCGACCCTTCATTGCTTTTGAGAATCTGGTGTTGGAACCAGTATGAATCCAAGAGCTTGCAGATGTGTTCTTCTCTTGCTGCCATTTTGATGGTGCATGGAATATGTGGTATCCATAAGTCTTTGATTTATAAGGATCTGATCTGGTTAACATCACCCCTTGGAAGTTTCCTAAAATGGTTACACCCAAGAACATTCATTTTGCTTTTAATAAACATATATCATAATCTTTTAATAGCTTCTCCAAAAAGCGAACAACAGATAAAATGAGGATTTTGAGCCAATATTTTGTTCCAACAGCTTTCTTGAAACTATCTCCAAAATGAAAAAGTAAAAGAGAGAGGAGTACCAATAGAGAAATAATATTTTTAATGTTGTATTCTTTAAAATGAGAAATTTGTTGGAGATGAATGTAATTTTTTTTTTTTTTTTTTGAGATTTTTTAAAAGAAATTTTGAAAAATAAAATGAGAAGGAAAGGAAGAAGAAAAGGGGATCCGACAAGCGAAATTAATGATGTCGACAAAACAACCAGCGAAGTGATGTGCACAACTAATACTTTATTCCTTGTATAATATCATAACATTTTATTTCAATTAATGTTTGATAGTACTTGAAATCTAATATCAATATATAATATATATATATATATATATAATATTATATATATATATATATATAGAGACTTGGGATCATGTGAGACCAGCCTGTTTTTGTGAGACCCGTGAGACCAACATTTTACACTTGAAACTTCACAGCAAAATGCTGTGAATGTGACTTTTTAAAACCTTCACAGTGTTTTTGCTGTGAAGGTTCGACTTTTTTTAAACCTTCATAGTGTTTTTGCTGTAAAGGTTACGTGTAAAAATGTGGTCTCACGGGTCTCACGAAAACAGGCTGGTCTCACGTGAACCCAACCCTATATATATATTATAAAAATTAGCTTTAGAATCATAACATTGGAGAATTCAAAGTACCAAAACTTTATGACAATATAATAATTTTGATGGATACCTTGTTAGTGCTTCACACGAAATGACTTTTTTAACACGGTTTTGGGATCCTATAAACATCCCCCTTTTAGAAAGTGATCAATCTTTTTACACGGTTTTAAAACCGTGTAAAATGGTAGAAAATCATGTAAAAATGGTTTAATTTTACACAGTTATTAGATAGAACCGTGTAAATATATATGATTTTTTTATACGGTTGTTAGATAAAACAACTATATGTTGGATATAGTCTTCAATTGTTGGAAACTTTGTCCCACATATGAAAAGGAGTTAATATGAGAGTGGTTTATAAGTTTTATTCTATTTGGTACTTATAAAGAGGATTTGGGCTTATTTTCTACTTGATTGGGTTTGATATAGAAATTGTTAATGGATCAAAAGGCATCACTAGCACAAGTTAGGGATGCTCATGGGTTGAGTTGATCGGGTTGAAGACATTTGAACAACCCAACCTAATGCTTGTGGTTTGGAAAAATCTTAACCCAACCCAAATCAAAGTGCAATCCAACCCAACCCAACCCGTACGGGTTGGTCGGGTTGGTCACTTTGGTATATTAAAATATTCTTCTAACCTTGAATATGTTATTTCTCTACTCATAATTTCTTTTTCATCATCAACCATTTGATACAACTTATCCATATTTCTTACGTATATTACATTCAGTTAATTTTCTCAATTTATATATATATATA